CGCACTAGTAGCTCCTGGCTTTACTACTAGGAACAAGAAGCTACTAGAAACTCCTGGCATCGCTACTACAAAACAAGGATTCCCGTGGTTTTTTATCCCCAGATGCCCAGAGCATGGGACCTTTTCTTCCCCATTCCGTGGCATTGACAGCAGAGTCATGCCCAAATTTCGCAGTTTGAATGAGGATGTATAAGTAATTCCCCTTCTCAGATCTGCCTTGACAGAAGAACACCCTGGACGAGGTTGTTTGGCCACAAAAACCATGGACTGCGTGTCGAAGATCTGGGTTTAGATCACCTGCAGGGCTTTGTTTACTTGTAAGCCGGTGTTCATGGGGCCCTAAAATGCGGGCACGCGAGAACGGACTCCTGGCTTTGCTTGTGGATGTTACTCAGAATTGAAGAACTGATTGTAGCAGGTATCCACAACTATGACTTCTCTACGACGTGATTGACAGTTCTTTTCAACCCACACTGCTCTCAAAACATGAGAGTGGCCACTTTCGTCGCGTTGGCACCGCAGAAGTCTCACACATTCTGACATGAGGTGTGGCAAGAGGGCACTGCGGAGCTTCACATGGCAGGCTTATATCACAATATCCAGGAAGCACTCAGGGCTTTGGTGTTTCGGCCTCCGGGGCAGCTGTCCTTAGGTTGCAACATCTAGGTCTGACGCCGCCTGTCATCAGGTTTTTGAGCCATTTTGTAGAAACAACTACTGTATTATTTGTGGTCAATTCTTTGCATTCTTTGGTGGCCACGTCTAGCAAAACTCACTGGTCGACGGTCGACTGAGGTTTGAAGATGCATATGATGCTCATACCTTTGAGTTCAACGTCACTGGCGCGCAGTGGCAGTTATCCTTTTGAAGGGCTTTTTTGAGGGTATTTTTTTTGGATGTTCAGAGGTTCTCCAGTCTCAGTCATTGAACGCGGAACACGTAACACATCTGATTTCTGGATATTTATGGTGTTTCCTCGTTTAGTATGCTCTCTGAGGTAACAGTCACTGCCATCGCCCTGGGTGAACGCTTCAATGAGCCCTGGCCCATCACCCCAGGCCCTGGCATGCGCCACGATGCTCGTGCCTTTCCCAGTGACCAGGTGTCTTTGCGTCAAGGGACTGGTGGCGATGTGAAAGATGGCAGTGGGTCGTGGTGGGTCGCAGGTCAGAACTTGAAGCCCTGGGATCAGTGAACCTCCAAAAAAAGAATCAACTGTCTCACCAAACATGCCAAACATACAGAGAATGCTGATCACTAGCTGGAGAACTCCTGGTATTTGGAAAGCAAGTGGGTTTTGATCGGATGTGCCCGGGAAAGCAGTTTTTTTTGGAACCTCTTTGCAAAATTGCAGATCGCCCCATCTTTGTTGGACAGATGCCCTTGAAGGGACAATATAGGGTTCAGTCCTGTTTGAACGGACATTTCCCATGGCTCACCTGCTTCAAAAGAAAAGCTCAGACTGAGGACCTGCTCATGACATTCGGTCATGTTGGCACCCTTTGTTCCTAGTAGCGTCCTTGCTCCTAGTAGCGATGCCAGGAGCCCCTAGTAGCGTCCTTGCTGCACAGATTTATCGCTACCCAGAATGGTTGCATGGCTCACCGGCTCACCTGGATGAAAGTCTCATCGCCTAGGTGGACTTTTCAGTGGTGGTGCGGCGCATGAATCGACCGCCTTTGCTCTTTATTGATCGCCCTGCCTTCTCTGTGACGCAACTTCAAGCCGAGGCTCAGTTTGAAGACTAGGCATCAGTTTGTGTTGCTACAACTTGAAGCATTGTATGATGCAGATGCCTTTGAATGCGGATTTGGCGACGAACTAAACTCTTGGTTTCCACAGACATGCTTTCCTGATTTAAGATGACTTGAGCACGGTATCAACTTTTAGATCCATACAGGCCTGCACGGTGCATAGATCCATTCAGATTGGGAACATAGACCATTCTCCGTGAGCCACACTTGCACAAGGCCCCTAGTGTTGCATACTCCTCCGTCGGCGTTCTTGAAACACTCGCAGCTCTGTTATTTAAAACACTTTGTTTCAGTACCTATGTTCGCCTTCATGCGCTCTGCGGTTTAACCTCCCAAGTAAACCAGCGGAGATATGGCCACACAATCTTGCTATGCTGCCAGGTGTGGGGACAAAAGAGCAACAGCATGGTCTAACAACACAGGTTGAAGTTGACAAGCACAAAGAAGTTGCGTATTTGTATTTGCTCACACAACCTTAGAAAGTTTTGCAACCTTCCAGCTCTACTGCATGCGTGTGGCCACAGCACCAGAAACCCATCTCACCCAGGATGTGATCCTCTACGGTGTCACGGTGGCTGATCCGGACATTCGCTCGGATGACCTGCTGGAGCTGGTGGTGTCCGCCGAGGAGGACGGCCCGGGCGACTTGGCCTTTGCGGGACTGCGGGGGAAACGATTGCAGAGAAGGATGAGATTGGAAGAGTTGAACCAGGCGGGGAAGAGCGAAGAGAAGCGTAGCTGTAAGAGTGAGGAGGAGACTTGTGGAAGTTGATTGCTCCAGTTTTGCCAACTTTCTTTGCAACAGCACTCGCTGGCACTGTAAAGTGGCTGCCAGGCCTTGCAGGAGCTGACCTTCATTTTCGATAATGCCAACTGGTTTGGCGTCACTGGGGTGTCCTTGTGGGTCAGTGATTTGGGCAACCATGGCTGGCGAGTGGATCGGAAGACCACTCCCTACAGCTCGGTGGGCTTGGAGGTGCACCCGGGCAGGTGGATGTTTCCGTCTGAGTCTGGCGTCGCATTTGGATGGCCTGCTCTTGATCCAAAACTTCAACCGAAGAACCTATATATATACATATGTATGATTATGTGTATATATATATATATACGGGGTACCCCCAAATGTCTACCTCTTTTAGTTTTGATTTGTATTTGCAGTGTTTTATGCACATTGTTTCTGGTTTGTTTTGGGGAGCAAATTTGAGGTGAAAGCGGGTGCCATATGTGTATAATTGTAGTGTTTCAGGATTGTTTTCGATACCTAATGTACAAAAACATATCGAGCAACTTTATATTTTAAGTTATATATATATTTCTACACAAGCTTTTCCCTTTGCACTTGCAGGTTAAGATTATATTAAAACACTTTCAACAACATTATTTATTCAATCTTAAGAAATCTTAAGATTTCACTGGAACCAAGAACCAAGAACCAAGATTGCAAAGAAAGTCTTGGAGATAATCTTGGTTCTTGGTTCCAAGAAAACCTTCTCATCAGAACCAAGATTTCAAGACTTTCTGTGCAATCTTGGTTCTTGATTCTTGGTTCCAGGAACATCTTAAGATTTCTTAAGAAACTATTGTTCCCGAAGACTTTCTGTGTACCGTACCTGTCAGGAACGTAGTATGTGAATTTGATAGAAGTACTCTCAATATGCCAGTCAGTGCGAAAAAACTCAATGTGTGAATTTATAGATCAAAATACTAGTTAGTGAGATTGCAACTCTATTCTTCTCTTCTTCTCTCCTCCTCCCTTCTCTTCTCTTCTGTTCTCTGAGAAGAGAATGGGAGGGAAAGGGAACGAAAGAGAAGAGAAGAGGAAGAAATGCTACTGAGATGTCATGCACACCAGTGAGCCTGTCAATTGTCAAGTTACTGTGTGGTTGCCAAAGTTGTACTGTAAGACATTCAATTCAATAATAAGTTGCATTCATCAACTCTCATATTGAAGCTTGCAGTTGGCACAAGTCATCGTATGACTTGCGGTGATTACAAAAATACTTTTCATTGTAATGTACAAAAGTAATTGTTTGAATTGTTATGGTACTTTGTAATAGTGTCAATGTATTAACCCCCAACTCACATGGTCAGTTGCATTAATCAACTTTCACATTTTACACATGCATTACTGTAAATACAACTAACAGTGTGATCTGCAGCAATTATATATAATATTGTAAGTTGTCATAATCACAAGTGAGCCTGTCAATTGTAATGCTTTTCTGTGATTGTCACAATTGTCAAATAATCAATTCATGTATTGAGATTTTCAACTTCAATGTGAGAGTTGCATTCATCAATTCTCATCCTTACACTTGCATTAGATACAACTGAAGGTATGAGAAGGCTAACAATGTACATTATCATTTGTCTTCATCAAATTTCATATGAACATGTGCATGGTAAACACTTGACAACTTGACAATGAGTTGCAGTCTTAACATATGGTATTATCAACTTTCATGCACACAAATAGTTCTGTGAATTTATGTGTTACCCTGTGATATTCACAAACATAAAGCATGCAGGTCAATGTTCTAGTTGTGCAAACCCAATGTCTGTGACTGTCACACATGTATGATTTAAATTCCTAATTTGAGTTGTTTGAATGTAATGTCACAGTGTAAAAAACAAACTAACAACTCATATACAATAATCAGTGGCATTCATCAATTATCATACGTGCAATTGTACCGGGTGCAACTGACAGTATGAATTGGAGTGCTTATATATAATATTGTTCATTCTCATGTACACAATTAATTCTGTAAATTGTTGTGCTTTTTTTGGTGGGGTCTTCACACTTGTACACCATGAGATTCATACTTCGATTTGCAACTCCAATGTAACAATTTGATTTGATAATTTTGAAACTCACATGATCAATTATATTCACATGATCAATTATATCCATTAATTCTTCTATTTGCAATTGCATTAGATACTACTAACAATATGAATTGGAATGTGTTCGTGTTCTCTAATTTCCCAACCTTGGAAAACATATGTCCTTATTTGTGTGCATTGGTCAGCCGTTCTGCTTATATTAATGCATTTAGCAAACCAAAAAGGTAGACATTTGGGGGGGGTAGCATATATATATATACACATAATCCTATATCAATTTCTTATAGTCTGTAGGTGCCAGAAGTCTTCCTGTACCATCAGCGAATGCTGCTAGCTAGCTTTCATTTTTCGATTTGGTAAGATTTGGCAGAACCGAACTCTTACCCATGGCCCATCGTCTCATCAACGAACCAGAACTGGAATGCGCGTCTTCAGTGGTGATGTCGATGCATCGTCTCATCCAAAGCTTCTTCCTGGTTGAGGCCGAAGAGCGTGGGGAGCTCACAGCCAGCAGTTTCTTAGCGGTGCATCGGAGCTTCGTCAATGAGCCGCCACGGATTATCCTTGAAGAGCCACGCTCTGGGCTGCTGGAGGTGGTCGGAGAGTGGAAGGGCTTGGCTTGGTGTCACAGGTTGGTAAACTGACACCAAGAGAGAAAACTGCTTGATAGATAAAGGAAAAGAAACCTACTAGGGATGGCCTCCAACCTAGTAGAAATGGCCTCCGACCTGGTAAGTAGAAGAAAATACACAAATTATATAATTGTGGAAATACACGCATGCCCCTCGGACTCGTTTCACTGTTGGTGCCGCAGGCGCCTTGAGCATCTGGCTCCGTGCGAAACAGTCTGCGAGCGTTCTTTACCCCTTTGTTTAGGTGTAGTTGAACCTCCGCTGTTTAACAGTGGCAGCGGAGCTGTCGACCCTCGTGCCATAGCGCTGCCCTGCGTGTGGACTTCGCTAGAGCTACATCGTCTTCTTCGTGGACGCGGACTTTGCTTTGGCCTGTTGGCCTCAACTACTTGGTGTTGGGCGGTCTGCCCGACCTGGCTTTGGACGACTTCGACTTCGTGGTCTGGACTACGTCTGAACTACAACGTGGACGACCTGGACACGGACTTCCCTGGTGGCGTAAAGCCTCTCCCTTTTGAGGGATAGAAGGTTGCCTGGTGGCTGACCACTTCAACGTGGACTTGGAGACGGAGGAGATGAGTGATGAGAAGAAGGATGACCGAGGCTTTGACAGCTACATACCGGTCTGGGATGGACGGAGCGAGACGCTTCGAGAGTTCAAGAAATCCGTCCAATGGTGGTTGCACTCAATCGACCTAGAGAAGACCACTTCCTACAACCTGGCTGCCCGCTTTGCAATGCGGCAGAGAGGAAGTGCAAAGCTTCGTGCGCTGGAGTTCGACCCAAAGGAACTTGAATACACTCCAGCTAGAAGGTAAAGGATGATGAGACCGATGAGATGATCGAGATTTCACCCGCGGTCTATGACGCCGGAATCCAGAAGATCCTGGCCTCCTGGGACGACATGGTTGGGAGGTCACAGACTGACCGCAAGGGTGAGCTCCGGGAGAAGTACTACCTGCAGCTTCGACGAGGTGGCAGTGAGAGTGTGCCGAACTTCGCTCTTCGGTACAGGACCTTGATCGGTGAGATGAAGGCCGAAGGAATCACTGTAGACCCCAGCGAGCAGGCATGGTTCTTCAAGCAAAAGCTTGCCCTCACTGAACTTCAACGACAGATGTTGGAGACCACCCTGGGCGTCGAGACCGAGGACTATGGAGCCTGCGAACGAGAGGCAGTTCGCCTCTTCAAGAGAGTCCATTTTGGACCTGGCCATGGACATGGAAGCCAACACCGCGAAGGCGGACATGGGAGCTTCGTTAAACGACCTCCTTCCTTGACGGCTTCTACCTTGTCCAGGTTTCGCAGGAGTTTTCCTTCGACTACATCGTCTTCTACCCCTTCCTGGAGGCGTGGCGGCAAAGGCTTTGGTGGCTCGGTCAACATCACTGAGTATGACGACGATGTGACGGCTGAGAACGAGGCCTTTGAAGCTGAAGGAGAACCTCCAGCTGAAGAGGATGACGGTGGTGCGACAGATGCTGAAAGCATAGCTGGCTTTGAGTGACTTCAACAGACCATTGAGGCTCTTGCGACAGAGATTGATGAGTTGGCTCACAGTTCACAAGGCGATGATGACCTTGCAGCCATTGAAGAGCAAGTGGAAGGTGCAGTTGAGGCATTGGTGACCCTTCGTGAAGCGAGGACGCAAATCAATGCCCTCAAGCGAGATCGTGGTTTTCGTGGACCTGGTTCGACTGGCTTGAAAGGAGGCAAAGGTCGTGGCAAGAAAGGTTCAGGCTCAAGCCAAAAGGATGGCAAGTGCTTTGCTTGTGGTCAAACAGTCACTGGCAAGGTGATGCTGAATGTCCTGCAGCAGGCAAGAGCATTGGCAAAGGAACGACGCCAAAGTTCCCAAGACCGATGCAGAAGCCTGGAACTTCATCGTCGACTACCTCACCAAAGTCTTCGAACTACAGGAGTGAAGCTCACACTGCTGAGGTGAATGTGGTTGACCTGTTGGCAGGAGCTCAAAATGTTTCCTTTGACTTGGAGCCCACCATCCACGAGATCAATGTGGTTTCTTCTTTGTCTGAGGCTCTTTCGACAAGCACAGCCAGTGCAGTGGGCCTTGACCCTGACAAGCTCTTCGTGGCGGCTTTGGACTCCGCATGCAATCGGAGTTGCGCCGGAGCTGAGTGGTTGGCTCACATGAAGGATGCCTTGGAGAAAGCCCCTGAACCCATCAGGAGCTTGGTTGCTGAGAAGCCTTGCCGAGACTACTTCAGGTTTGGCAATGGCGGTGTCTTAGAAAGCCTAAGAAGGCTGAGGATTCCTGTCCTGGTGCAAAACCAAGTGGTCCTCCTCTGGTTGGCGGAGATGCCATGTGCTTCATTGGGGTGCTTGCTTGGGAAGGACTTCCTAGAGAGCTTAGGGGCGACTTTGGATTTTCCCTCCAAGAAGGTGCAACTGAGGTATGTCAGTGATGGGTGGATTCCCCTGAGCAAGATGCGGGCAGGACACTTTTCCATGAACCTTCTCCCCAAGCCCCTCTCTTCGTGGCCGACGCTCACTTCACAGTCTTGGCATGTCGTAGGAGTTGGAGGTTGTTGTGAGGTTCAATGTGAAGGTCGAGTGTCATGGAAAGCTCGCAATCGTCTTGTCGACCTTTCGAGTGATGCTGATGGTGACTTGAACATGGTTGTGCACTACATCCCGGAGTTCTTCAGCTCAAGCAAGGCCTGGATGCCTGTGGAAGATGCTGCCCAGCCCGTTCGACGTCCTCACCCCGGTGGTGTCGCGATGGCAGCGCCTCCTACTTCGACTGCAGGCGAGGAGAACATGGCGTTGGAAGGGCGTGATGCTTTGGCTGGTTCAACGACCTTTCCTTCGCTACATGCCGGTGCCTTTGCCAGTGGTGACGACTTCGGAGGAGTGGAAAGCTCAGCTGAAGGACATTGGTGAAACGACATGTGTGGCCGAAGCGCTGGCAACCGAAGGCGATGGAGTACATGTCCCTGGTCCACCTCAACGAGGCCGAGGATGGGACTGGAGGAAGCCTTCATGGAGGACGAGGCGGTGATGTTCGGAATCAAGGCTCTGAAGAAGCCAACCCGAGCTCGCCAGCAAGCCGCGCTAGTTCAGGCAACTCACCAAGCCATCGCAGAGCTGGATGGCCGGAAAGAAGATCTCGCCCGGGAGCTTCTCGGACCCCGAGGAGGAATGCCCCGGACGAAGGGGGACCTGGTGAAGTTGGCGGTGCTGTTGAACGTGGTCGTGGATCCCAAGGACACCATCGAGCAGCTGAAGGTGAAGATCAAGCCGCTAGTGGACGCAGTGATGGGGGAAGCCCATGGCTCCAGCCCACAGACGAGCCAGAAGCAAGACGGCGTCGACGACCCCGGACGCCACAGTCAGCTTGGGATCACAACAGCAGCATCAGTACCAACAGGACCAACTGCAGCAGTCCCGACTGCGGTTCCCCTCACCCAGTGCCCTGGGGACTCCAGATGAGCCCGGATGGGCAGGGCCACTTCGCCCGCTTCAACCCCCAGAACCGTTCAGCTCAGGACGGTTGGGTACTCACTCCTCAGTTCTACCAGCTGAACGAGACCGACGATCAGATGCTGTAAGGCTCTCAGTTGGCACCCTGAGGAAGGCCGCATTCAAGGACATGAAGAGTGGTGCACGGCTAGCTGTTCGTGATGCAGTGATGAAAGCCCGTCGAATGCGAGAGAAGATGGGAGCCCCTGTGAGCTATGTCAATGAAGTTATGGAGGCAGAGTATGTCGACTTCATTGACCAGGTGGCCAGTGGCAAGCAGTCTGAGGTCTTCATGGCGGACCTGCACATGCCGGAGCTACCGGCCAGTCGCTTCGAGTGCATTCGACTTCCTCTTTCACGACTTCGAGAACCTCTCACGCGCCCAAGCAGACTTCATCGTCGACTGACGGATGAGTGGTGTTTTGGCCACATCAATGGATGGATCTGCAGAGACCACTATGCCCCCCGGAGGATTTTGTACACTCCGTCAACGGCAACGGCGCCAAGGTTCTTTCCCTATGAGGCCTTCACTGGACAGCGAAGGTCGGTGTTCTGTGACGAGGAGGGCAACATCAACTTCGTCCGGACGGACAACTTCAAGGACAGCTGGAACTCACAAAGCCATGTGCGCAGTCAAATGCCGGTTCAAGGTGAGACATGGCTTGAGGTGACACAGGAGTGGATTGAAAGCCAACACCCCCCCTATTCTTGGGAGCAGTTCAGCTTTCCAATTCGAAGGGCAGTGATGCTTGGTCAACAAGGCTCACACGATTGCCGGAATGGGGACAAGTTCTTTGTTGGCTTTGACGCCATGAGCCAGAAGGGCATGCTGCCTTTGGATGGCTCTGTGCCGATTTCTTCCTGGATCCGAACTGCTGAGGATGGTTGGATGATGTTGGAAGACCGAGTGCTTCATCGAGATCGAGCTGGACACCGACTGCCCCATGGAAGCTTGATCAAGTCAGTTGAGGTCTATGTCCAACTACATCATAATACCCTTCGTGACGATCCTCACAGGTACCCCATCGTCGGTGAGCTCTACACGGAGACTGAGCCTGTTTCCTCTTGTGCTGTAAGGAAGGGACGTGCCATCATGCAGTCCATCGTCCTGAAGACTGGCTATGATCTTTTGAGGATTCGTGATCGGAAACGCGCCAATGCAGACATCCGACAGAACAGGCCATTTTGCTTGGTGATCGCCTTTCCACGCAGTGTTTGGTCAAACCTAATCAACATGACCACCCGAGGTGATCCTGTCAAGCTGGCCCGATTGGAGAAGAGGCGCAGGTATGAGAAGACTCTGGTGGAATATGCTGCTTCGAAGGCTGTTGAACAGGTGCTCTCTGGGAATCACTTCATCCTGGAGAATCCGGCCACATCGGCTGCCTGGAGATTGGTTGGACGACTGCGACGTTTGGTAGAGAAGGCTAAGGAGTTGGATCTTTACCATGTGCGAGTCGATCAGTGCGCCTTTGGCT